ACCCCCACCTTTACTACTATAAAACCCTGTTCTAATTGAGCTCAGGGTGCTCTATTTATTCCAATACACTGGACGTGCAGAGACTGAGCTTGCAAACTTGATTAAAATAAAGGCTCTTTGCTTTTACATATGGGACTTGGTTTCCTTGTTGGCTTTTGCGGGGACTTAGTGGATTTGGGCACAACAGCTGGTATTTTCCTTTCTGAGAGCTGTTGCAGCCCCTTGATCAACTCAGTTTAAAAGATCTTCTGCCCTTCCAGCAAGAACAGCAAACCAAGACATATGGTCGCAGGATAATCCTACTGAGGACGCCGAGTGACACCGCCAAGGCCTTATCGCCTACCCAGGCCGCCAGAGGAGCGGGATGCTCCTGGACCTGTTAAAAAAGGGTTTAATCTAAATTTGACTTGATTTTAAATTTATATCTCCAGTCCTGCAGTATGGTTTCTTTAAAAAAGAAAATCAATCTATCAAACAAACAAAAAGCATCCATTTTCAGTTGATTATAAGGAATACCTCTAACTAACTGGTACATAATGTATAAAATCTTAAATCTGTTTTCCTAAAAGAAATCAGGGGTTAATTATTGTTGTTAGATGCCTACGTCTAACACAAATGATAAAATTAACGTTTGAGTTGCCTGCAATGCTCTATACTTACAATGAAAGCAAACAAATAGCAGTGAGCACACTGATAGAATATTCATGTATTGATCGTGCGTTTGTTGGAAGAGCACTTCCAATCAGGAGACAGGAGGCTGGTGAAGCAAGCTGAGCTGGGGAGACAATGGAAGCAGACCCTGGTGTCTTCAGTCTCTGGTTGGCTGGTGCTGCCCTGGCCTCACCTGAGGCTTTCCCATTGCAAAACCTGACACACCAGCATCCACGTCTCTTTCCCCTCAGACTACAGGGCTGTGTACTGTCTAATCAGTGTGGCTAAAGGGAAGGCAGCTAAAGGGAAAGAGATAAATGGGAAAAGGGAGAAAAAAAATGAAAGAGCAAACAGCACAGGCAAGGATCCTGGAAGAAATGATCAAGGCCAAAAAGGAGCTCAAGAGGGAAGAGAGGATGGAAGGACTTTTCTTATACATGGAGAAGGTACAAGTCGAGAGGCCATGACTAGATCATAAACATGCTGAAATTACAAGATGGTGACTTCTTCCTCATCCTCCTGACCTGAGACAAAAGCCTGGCAGCTTCAAAAAAGGCCTGATGGGCTTTTCCTCCTGCCAGTAGGACCCCACCACCACCTATGGACCAGTCCAACAAGACCAAAGCCAGACCAGAATGTGTTTTCCCCAGACTTACGGATCTATCAGCTGCACTGTCTTTGTTCAATCTGAACAGTCATAAAATGGGGGTGGAAGACCCTTAAGAGCCCCCAGACATCAAGGAGAGACAGAACCTCAGCTTCCTGAGGCCCCCTCTGCTCTGCTCAGGGTCTTTCCTGTCTGTCTGTCTTGCTCTGTATTGTGTTTCCTCTCCCCTAATAAAAGCCTTCGACAGGCTGACTCTGTTGCTGTGGTCTGCTGTGTCTGAGATCTCACTCCACCACCCTCCCTGCTGTGCTCCATAGTTTTCCTGCCTTTAGTTCTTTAACTGGCAGAGAAGCAGAATTCCAGAAGGCCCCTAACCTGCAATACAAGTAGAGGTGCTCAGGGTGAACTGGCCAGGGGGAGAGGGGCTTGTGCCCCAGGTAAGAGACAGAAGCAGTTGAGATTCCAGAAATAAGAATGTATAAATAAGAAATATAAAGCCTAGGAGAATGAGAGCAGACTGTCAGCAGCTCTCTAAGCAGCTTAAGGATTAACTGTTAACAGTGGATTACTGTGCTTTACATCCCATATATATATACACGGCCAAAGCATCTCTCTGCAAACTGAGAGCCTAACACCCCCCACCCCCAAACCCCCATCCATCTTTGATTAACAAGGGATATGAGCTGAGTTAACTTTTAGGATATAGATACATGTAACCTAGTTAGTCTAGGGTTGTAACCCGGCTGGCAGGTCAGTTATTCCAGGGTCCCGAAGAGGTGCTATCTGAAAAGACATGGGCAGGAGAGAGGAACGAGGCCAAGCAAGATCTGTTGTCAAAGCCTCCGTTTATTAGCATAATGGCAGCAGCTTATATAGCCCTTGGATGAGGAATTTGGCTTGGGATGGGGGCAGGGGGCAGGGGCATGGGATCTTGCTGGGGCAGCAATGGTCACAAGTCAACACTTGGTCACTAGTCGGTCACGAGTCCTTGGTCAGGAGATCACGAGTCGTTGGTCATGAGTCATTGGTCATGAGGTCATGAGTCGATACACCTACTGTTCTCTACGCAAGCAGAATCATTCCTTTTGTGATTCCAACCACAAACAGTTCTCTAGACAGTTGGAATGTGGGGCAGGTTCCGCTAACAGATAGCTCTCAAGATAGTTGGGTGTGGGGTGGGCTCTGCCAACAAACAGTTCTCAATACAGTTGGGGTATGGGGCTTTCCACAAACATCCCCAGGACAATGGTCCCTGCTATACTCTTTGGGAAAATGGCTCCTGACAGATACACATGACCTCTGGGTTGCACATTACCCCTGCTATGTGAAACTGGCAGCATCAAAGGGGAGAGCACAGGGCTTCAGGAAACTCTACCTGGAAGTACCAAGGAAGATAATAGACTAAGTACAAACACTAGTTTAACTGAAAAGTGAAGACTGTAAAATAAGGCAATCTGTATCTGAGTTTTACCTTGAGATTCCAAAAATTCCTTTGTTCAGACCTAGTGCTTGATGCCCCTACTCTAAGAAGATAGATTCAGAACAGCCTTTGGCACAGCCTTACAAAATCCATTTCTGGCATGGTCTCAGCTGGCTGATAAACTTTTTGTGCCCCATGGAGGTTTTTATTTTAATTTTTTTTCCTGGAATAAAGTTTGCTTCTGGATTATTAGACTTTGGTGGTCTGTCTCCATCTTTGCGCACCCGTGTGGACCCAACATTTACAATCTCCCTCCCTCCCTCCCTCCCTCCTTCTCTCCCTCCCTGTGTTGTTTTGTTCTGTGGCTGAGTCCTCTACAGCTTTGTACTCTTCCTTGCCTATGGCTTTTAAGGCCTTCGTGAAGTAAAGTGCTAACCCACCACCCTCTTTCCATATGGAACTTTATTGTAGACAGTAGAAAGTGATAATGTATAGTGTTACATTATGTTCACTGGAAAAACTCATCAAGAGATCAGTTTGCTTTGGGTAAATCTACATGTATTTGCAACATAATTGCGGAAACTCCAAGAAATGATTAGTAATCCAGGAGATGTAAACCTAGCCTTAAATGTTTTTTAAAAACTTAAAAAGCTGAAAATGTGCAGTGTTGGGAAATGAGTCAGCAGGTGCACCTGTGGACCTGTGCACCCGGACACAAGTTTGGGTTTGCTGGATCAAGCAAGGTTCAAGGCCTCAGGCACCATCTCCTACTGAGGACTGAGCAGCTCAGGAGCACGGCAGTGATGGAAAACACTAGAAGACAGCAGAATGCATGGGGCATCGCTCAGTGAGTCCAGGAGTGAGGCAGATGAGGCAGAACCCAAAGCTCTGTGATATAATATGATTCTCTTCCTGAAGCTGGTGGTGGAGAGAGACCTACATCCGGGTCCTGAGGGCCCCTCCCTGCCCCTCCCTTCCTCTCCAGTCTCTGCTCTCCTCTGCCCCTCACCTCTGCTGTAGCAGTCTCTGCCCTGCCCCCTCACTTCTTACACTCTGGGTCAAGGTCCCCAGGTGCCGGCGGAGAGGGGAAGGGAGAAGAGGGAAGGCGGAAGGGAGAAGAGGAAGGGAGGAAATGTTTTCTTCTGTGCACAGATTCCTTTTAGCAAAGCAGCTGCGACACTTTCTGTGTCTGTGCTGATACCTTAAAGACAGCAATATTTTTTTTTCTTTTATTGATTCTTGGTGGATCTCTCGTCACGCAGTCAGATCCCACTTATCTCTTCATTCCATTGCATCCTCCCTCTGCTGTTGCAACTTCCGCCCAAACCAAACCAAATGTAAAACATAAACCGAACTGTTACGAAAAAAAAAAATCCTAAGATTTTTATGCTCCGCCCGCACACAAAAATCCAATTAAAACAGATTAAAACCAACTTAAAACGCCCATGTTTTATTAAGTGCAGCGCTCTCGGATGGCCAAGAGCACGGCAGGGGTGACAGAAAAGTGAGGAGCACATGCAAGCCTGGGACCGCTGGGAGCTTAAATACCCTGTGGGAGTGGTCCTGACCCTCCCCTGGGGAGAAGTCAGTACCTGGAATGCTGGGATTTGGAATCCAGACCAATGCAACTCCCAGGCCAGGGGGCTGGGATGGATGCCAGGGGTTGGGGTTATGCTCCAATGGAAGACAAACTAACCAACAA